CACTTTGCACGTTATTAAAAATAAATATCCAATTATTTTATGTAACAATTACATCTGAAAGCCTATTCAGATATTAAAAATTAAAAAAAAAAAAAACATTTAAAATGTTTTTGTTTTTTCTTTTAGTAGTATATAAAATCCACATTACCTGCTGAAAAGTTGGTCTATATCCTCATGTGTATGTCCAACCATTAAAAAAGAAACTTTCACTTTCTTGAAAATGTTTGCTTCCACCAACTTGGCAACAAAGCCTAGTACATGTCTGAATTGTAAAATTTATAGAACAGTTCATTTGCAGTAAGTGTAATTATTCACTTCAACATACATGTATTATAAATTATTAAATACAGGATATTGAATGATTGTTTTGAATTAATTTTTATTAAGTCTTAATAGGCAATGAGTAGCTTAATTAATTAATGATATTCTATAATTGATTTTATAAACAAAATGTATACTGTTGAATTGCAAAAGAATCACACCATGTATCACCAGTGCTTTCTCCATGGGAATGATGACGATACCGGACAGATTGGGGAAAATTCCATTGGTTTGACTCTATAAGATGCAAAATATTCATTGGGAATTTCTTTTCTCCTGGGAATCAATAATAATTATGCATAATATACACTTTTAAACCATGTATTATTAACTTTAATGATAAAAAAAATAATATTTTTTACTACTTATTGAAATGATCTCAAATTTAATGCTAAACCTGTTCTTATTTTGTCCAGGACAGTTGTCGAGCTGAAGATAAAGGACATCAGGCGGACATCAGGCAGGAAATCTAACAGGGAAAGAATATGCACTAGCACCGATAAAGTGTAGGAAGCTCCATGTGCCCATTGGAAGGCATCAACGAAGCTGTACACTCCAATGCCATGGACAATTGCTCCCATTAAGTTCGCTTTCAGCCTCCAAATATTCCCCAATGATTTCGGTGTTTCACACAAACGAGGAATGGCTGTTTATCTTGGTCCATGGCATCCATAATTATACTAAGGTAATTGTTGGAATTATTTTTTGCCTTTTGATATGTGCTTGTAATATTTACGCTCCTTACTGCAAATAGAAAAAAGACAAAAAACTGATTGCTTGTTGAAAGAAGAAAAAAACCTATACAATTTTTGGGAATTTGAAAGAACTTATTGTATTTTTTATGCCATAGAGTACATATTACTTTCAACCATCTGTACGTATGTTGTCATAGTTATGGCCCTTGTTCTTCGAAAATTGTACGGCAATGTTGATCAGCATATGCAGTTGTTCACCTGGTTGTATGTCTATGAATTTATTGCATATTTGTAGAGTTTTTGGCCCTTGGTTTTTTTAAAAATTTGCAAATTTCTAACTAGTTGTACACATAGCTCAAAAAAAAAAGTATTTGACTTATGAAACTTTACGGGAATTTTGAACAGCATGTGTAGGTGTGGTATTCAATTAGCTGTCCGGAAGCGACATGTCATTATTCAGTTATACCAATATAATACCAATGGCTTCATAATTGTTTCACTTCCTAATCAACACAAAGTGCATGAATCGGAGCTGGGGGCCTTTGTGACTTTGTGTTTAACAAATACGTTCAATTTTCATTTTTGAAAATATTCTTAATGATTAATTTGATTTCTTTCACAAAACTTGTGGCTCTTGTTACAATATCTATTCATGGTGTTTTTTATAAAGCTGAGTATGACTGGTCAAGCTAAATCGATTTAATTATCATAATTCAAGGTAATGGGGTATGATGAGATCAATTGTAAAGTAATTACTTTTGCTGTTCTAAATGGATTGAGTGCTGCCATTGTAATTGCTCTCTTACTGATTTTTCATTTGTTGCTGCAATCCTTTCCTTAAGCTGAATGCATGTGTCGCACTTGCTGAACCTGGTTCTCTGTAAAAGTAATGTCCTAACTGTGATAAAAGAAGCAATATATAATAATTCAAATTATTCAGGTGACATTACATATATAGAGGATATTGAACGAGTTTATGCCAATGTTACAAAGTCGCAAAAGCAGCATGTGTATCTGATATATTTGGATAAATAATCTAGTGTTTATTTTTAGCTCTGTCAAACATTGTGATTTGTCAGGTGTCTCTACTAATCTTTTACTTTAAACATCTTTTCACAAACAACCAAGCCAAATTCACTTTTTATTAAAATTTGTTCAAAGACTTTAATGCCATTCAGGACTCTGTAGAAATCTTTTAAAAACCTTGAGAGCTAGTGAGCTCAGATATAAGATATTAGGCAACAGTTTGTTCCAATAAAATAAGTCCTGAGATCAAAATTGGCCCTGTCCCGGGCATTTTTCAATTTTCTTTATTTGTATGTAATGGTAACTTGAAAAATCTTCATTAAGACTCAAACAGCTAGAGTTTTGATAGTAAATCTTCATTAAGACTCAAACAGCTAGAGTTTTGATAGTAAGCATGAAAATTTTTCTTATTGTTGTCTACCAAGTTTGTTGAAATAAAAGCCCTGGTTTCAAAATTGGTGGTTACATTGAAAAAACATGGGGTGGGGGATTTTCAAAAAATTTTGTTAGAAAGAGTCTGTGACTATTATTTTATTCAATTGACTTGATTATCTATGTGTCTGGGAGTTATCTTAATTGTAACCAGATTGTAAATTTGTCAAGCTTAGGGGAATTTTTTTTGTCTTTAAACATTTACCAAGGCATATACTTACCTTAGGGATTTTAATGTGGTTGAGTTGACTTCTCCATATTTTCAGTGAATGACTATAACTTGGAGGTTCAATGTTTTCCTTTTGTGCATCTGCACACATCAATTCCCAAACAGAATATTTTGTTAAGCAGCAAGGCAGATGAAATCTAAATACATATTGCTTTATTTATCACTACATTTAAAGTTTTATTAACCTGGAAATGGTTAAAGATTTTCAAATTTTGTTATCAACAGTTAAGGTTTATTTGATTAAAACATTTAAGAAAGCCAGGAAGAATAATCATTTCATTCAACTTAACTTTAACCTAGATCATAAAAAAGTTTCTTTTCTTAGTTGGCAAAAAGCAATATACCGTAAAATTCCTATTAAACGCCCCCGGCGGCTAAACATTTTCCAAAAGGGGGGCTATTATTACAACACAGTTTTGCCTAAATCCAAAAATCACTGTAAATACATTTAGTGTTAGCAAGTGTTGGAAATAACTTTAAAAAGTGTTAAGATTTTAAAGTTCATATTAAACATATTTGTGTTTACTATAAAATAAAATGGATTATGAATGATTTGAATAAAATTATGGCTTTAATTCAGTTCAGCACTGATGAGTAGATTGTTTTCCTCATCAAAAGGCTTGGGGGGGGGGGGCCTTTAAAGAGGGGAGGGGCATTAATTAGGAATTTTACGGTAACCTAGATCATAAAAAAGTTTCTCTTCTTAATTGGTCACATCAACATTTGGGACAAGAGATACAAATATAACAGACTTTAGCTTCAATATATAAAATTAAAGTACAATATAAAAAAAAATTAGATTATTTAGATAAAGAAATTATATATATAAACTCACTTTGCACTGTTTGGTATTTTCTCAGCATGTTTCACTGAAAAGTTGTTCATCCACATAGCCCCGGACTAGTGTATGGTTTACCAGCTAAAAAATTGTCAGAAGACCTTCATACAATTTTTTTATGTCTTAGTCTTAAAAGTACTGTGAATTATTTCATATTCTTCAAAGTTAAACCTCCTATCCGGCGTATTGAAGTTTGTGCTTTTAAAAATAAACTGTTATCAGAAGATAAAAAATTTCACCACGGGCTCGTACCTTTATATGAAACGCGATAATTAAAACATATTTATAGAAATTTACTGATTGTGAATACTCGGGTTTTGCAATTGTAGTAGTGTGTCTTCATGTCTTTGAATATCAATTTTCTGTGAACAACAAATTAATGAGAATGAAAAGAAAAGTTACTTACCTAGGAACATTTTCTTTATTTCATAGTATGTACTGCGGGGAAATGCCAGCACACTTAGGAAAGCATTTAGGCATACATTTTGGCTACCAATATTGAAAGTTGTTGATAATTTCATGTTCTCAATGCTGCAATTTAATAGAAAATACATTGAACAAGTAAAAAAATGATATTGCTAAATGCAGGGTTCTAATTTAAGTTTATACAGCATGGAAATGCAAGCACACCTGGAAAAGCATTTTGGCTACTAATATTGAATGTAGTTATTAACTTCATGTTCTCAAAGCTTCAATTTAATTGAAATACCTTGAAGAAATGGAAAAAAAATGTTATAATGCTTGAGCCACTTTAAATCTCGTACAGCTAACAGAAATTTCCTGTGCTCAAGCTTTACATATAGATCTAATTGTTATCAATTGCATAATTATGGTTTTGGCAAGTGCCCACTGCAGCAATTGATGATTGTTATTATGCAAGCTACAGTATCTGATGTTGATTACTGTAAAATCTATTTCAATCGTCTTTTTTTAGGTAAATGTAAAATTCTTTAATTCTTGACGAAAAACAGAAATGAGTTTTAATAACTATTGTCAAAGTTGTTTCTGACATTCAATTGGCATGCAGCCTATATATGATATCAATTGTTATATCCCGATATGTTTTAATTTTAATAATTGTCAATGTGTATTATACTGATAAGAAATGCCAGTTCAAATAGCTAGTCTTAAAAAAATGAATGTATTCTAAGCAATGTGAATTATTTTATTTCAATTGAATAACCCCTGGAAATAGAGACACAGCTAATTTTTTATTCACAAAGCATATAAAGTTATAATTCGTTTCAAAATATGTCATTATCTTTATTTAAAATCTTAAATTAATTGTAAATGAGTAGATTTTCCCTTCATTAATTTTTTTATGCCTCCGCAGCTTTCCCATCTTCATTTCTGGTGAACTTGAACACATGTGGGTGGGAGTGGTTTTTGTATTTTCTGACGCAGTCAGGAAATTCAATGCTGACATTCAATCTCTGGCACAGAATTCATACATGTGAACTCTCCCACTTTAAGCGGGAGACTCCCACTTTCAGCAGTCATATTTTCAAAGATTTTTCTTAAAATAAGGGGTATTTTCACAAATTAAAGAAATCTCCCTCTTTTTGATATCAAAACTTTCTTCTTTGTTAATTGCAAATTCTAAAATCTCCCTCTTTTTGAAAAAAAATCTCCCACTTGATCATCGTAAAAAGTTCACATGTATGAGAATTTCACGACAAACCTAACAACAAGTAGGTCTCAAAACAGTTTAAAACTAGCGATGTAAAAGAAAGAAATATTTTTCTTTTATTACAAGTACCCAACAAATTACAACGCATTTAAAGTTTAAAAGTAGCGTTGGCTAATGCACAATCACAAATTACGCGGATGAATATGATTTTAATCAATGAAAATGCTATTTTTAGCGATGTTGATTACCGAATACTACACAAATAAATCTGACTGCTGAGTAGTGGAGTATAAGGTTCTACATGTCGGATTGTTTGGGCGAGAAGATTTTCGCTAAATTATTTACTTCAATTTTAAACAACAGGTTTATCCTGAACAAAATACTTCGAAATTAATAAGGATTACAAACCTGAAATGTCTGGAGTTCAAATCCCAGTCGTGGCAACTTTTTTAAAAAATTCTTAATTAGGTGTCTTGTTAAGGAAGTAGCCATCCTGTACGAAATTTTGGCACGGATTCTGGGCGGAATTGGCACGGAATTGACACGGAATCAGTGATTTCTGGGCGGACCAGGAACGGAAACGCAAATTCCGTGTCATTCCGTCTCACAAGAAAAATATTTTGTTCACTTTTCTGGGCGGAAAACTAGAAAAATTCCGGCTGGAATTTTATTTGGAGCAGAATTTATACTTAAACATTTCATCTTGGACAGAATTTTCAACTTTGAAATTTTGTTGGGAAGGAATCATGTCTTCACTATGGGCGGAATTCTATACTTAAACATTTTTCTTGAACAGAATTTCACATATAAGATGTCTAAATCATAATTGTTAACTCTTGTTTTTGCACTTGCAGACATTGAAATTTTACCAACTGTACTTATTATTTTTGTTGAAGCATGATACTTGACCAATAATTACAGGTGTATTTTTAGAATAAATAGGGTTATTTTTTAGACATTAAAATATGCCTAAACAATGTTTTTAAATATTGTGGCAAATGATATATTGTCAGACTAATTTAGCAAATCTTTTTTGTACTGAAAAACAACTGTAATAATCTTAGTGTAGAACTTGAAAACATTCACCTCCAAAATGCTTAAGTTTATAAAAAGCAACATTGAAATAAGAATGCTGTTTAAATTTGAATATCAGGACAGCCACAGGACAAGATAGTGTGCTTGCCATTTTAAACTCTAAGAAATCATGATTTTGTTATAAAAAAATAAACAAAAACAAAACAAAAACATTGCATGAAATAATCTCATATAGTATGCCCTTTTAATCTATATAGAATTGATCAGCCAATATGCCCAATAATTGCTTTCATTTAGGTAAATAAATACTACAATATATATCCACTGAGATTTTACACTACACAGATCAGAGCTCTGATAAAACTCAACTGACCAGCAGTTTCCCACCATCTTAAATTCTTTGCATGACTAATTTACTCCACTGGTCATTCCAACAGATCAGGCTGTTCCATTGAATTATTTTGGGGAGAGATAACATTATAAATTTCATATGCAGAATTTGTCTAGGACATTGCAATTTTTTTTTGTTCAGAAATTTGTAATGATTTTTAAATTCTATATATATATCTATTTGTTACTTGAATGTTTGTTACATTCAATGAATGGAGGTTGAGATGATGAGTAAATTATTACCCTGTTTTACATAATGATTGACCTGTCCATGCAGTTATACAGTTGTGAATTTTGAATTCTAAGATATCTGGGTCAGCAAAAAGAGTGCAAATAGCAGAGGATCATCACAGTACTTGATATTTTAACAATTTTGGAGATATACTTTTGTTTAAGATCGCAAAGTGTTTTAGTATTGGTATGATAAATAAGTGTGAAAACATGGGACAAGGAGATGAACAACATAATCAGGTAATTATAAACCTTTAGTTACATTAATGCTGAAACAAGTTTTATATCAAACTATCAATGGTAGCAAACTAAAATTTGTAACAAGAGGTCAATGTTGTTTTTATATTTTCAACTTCATACATTTGTTTTTTTCTGATAATTGTTTTAAATCTTTATTACATGTTTAATGACTGTAAAATATAAATTATTCAATGATTCTATATAATGATTGTGTGTATTGTATAAATTAATAGCATGTAGTAGATCTTTTTCATTTCCTGGAAATTAAACAAATTAAGTCAATTTGATTAAATAGGAATAAATGGTACAAATTCAGAAGTTTTGTACAGCTGAACAGGGTCATCATAATCATTTATTATTTAACATGTATGTGTTGTGTTTCCAATGGAACAATCTAAAATTACATTTTACACTCATATTTTCAGACTGGGAGTTAAGTGCTGACTGTGAGATGCAAGGTGTTTCAATAAAGATGTGCAGTATTAATCCTGAAAAGGTATATTTTTAAATCTCAATACTTTACTATTCAACATCTTTCCTTGAAAAAATACATAACCAGTAATAAATAGTGTCACAAATAAAGCAGTTAATTAATTCTTACACAGAGCAATTCTTAAACACTTGTGCACTGAAATAAGATACTGCGTAAGCTTTTAAGTATCTTTGAATATGCATAAGCACTGTTAATATTTGATACATTTGATATTATCAAAAAAAAATGAAATATAACTGCATATAATTATGCAATCAAACATAATTCATTACTACATTTTTGTTTAATTAATAATTAATTTTATTATTAAAGGTGAGCACAACCACAAGAAGTTCTTGGAAACACAGGCAGTGGACTTAAAACAGACATCAATTAAAGAAATAGTAATTTAAATAACCAGAAACATTTGAAACAAATTTATGATTGAAACACTCTCAGCAAAAAAGTTGCTAAAAAACAAAGTGTTGGATTCTAAGAAAACCAGTACCTACCAAAACCTGCAGGTTACAGAAAAAAACTGTTTGTTTTATAGTGAATGTATGGTATTCTATTCTGTATTTGGACTAAAGGATATGTATTAAATTTTGTGAAAGAAAATTTAATGTGATACATTATTGATAATTTTATCCCAAAAAAAATGTGATCATGTTAAACTCATAAAAATTCCGCCCCGATGAATTCTGTCCCAGAATTCCGCCCAGAATTTTGTTTGACAATTCCGTTCCAAAATTCCGTTCCGAAATTCTGCTCCGAGATTCCGCTTCAAAATTCCGCCCCAAGATTCCGCTTCAAAATTCCGCCCCAACTCATTTGCATATTTCGTCCCAATTCCGCCCAGAATCCGTCCCGTTTCCGCCCAGAATCCGGCCGGAATCCGTGCCAAAAGCAAATGGTTTAACACTTGTATATTTGGGGGAGAATTTAAATTTCTGGGCGGAATCTGCCATTGAATTCCGCCTCATTTCCGTGCAGAAAATTTCGTACAGGATGATATGCAAGGATAAAGTGTGGCTGTCATAAAAAATGAACATAAAAGATTTTTTGATGCAACTCTACTGTAGTTATGCACAATTCCGTATGTATCAAACTCTGGTGCCTTGCAAGATGAATTATAGCACATAAAAATAAACTAATATAGGAAAATACATACAGATATACAGTACGATTTAGATTACAAAGATCAGAAAATACCACAGAGCTTGCAGCCCTTTAATTTTAATATTGTTAAGTTTTAACCACTCAAGAAAGTTGTGAACTTTTGCAGTTCTGCTATCTTCATACCTTAAATTTTGCAGATTTTACATGAAACACATTTGAATTATTTGCTTAATTTTGAATATTATTCTTTATATATTTACATTTCAAAATGAAAATGTTAGAGGTAATTGAAAGTGTAACATTATACTTGTAAAGTCTCTAAATAATAAGTAAGAAATAGGCTAATCCTCAATACAATTGGTACCTTGAATGGTCTCTAATCCAGTTAAGAATATATTGAGATCTATCCATTTTCTTCATTTCCTGAAATGTTTGTCTTGTCATTTCCACAGTAGTTACACTAAGTGCAACAGCACACATTTTCAGACAGCAGAAAAACGTTGAAATCTCATTTGGTGACATTTGTTTCTTTGCTGAAAAAGAAATTTTTTGGTCACTAGAAAGTAACCTCACCCAATTTGACACTTTGCAAAGTACAAGGCAGTCAGTCAAAAAAAAAATTTGATTAATTAGGTCATTTTTGGCTCACCTGAACTAACTCTGGTCTATAATCAAAAATCTACAATGGACATTAATCAATAAATAAGCTATTTATTTCTAACACTGAAAAATAGTTGTTTCTGGTGAGCGATTCAGGGCCGGTGATTTTTTTCCAATTTTCAAAACAACCTGTGGCTTTCTGAAGGGGAAAATATAGCGTATTTTATTTTTTTAAATGGGTTTTGATACGCATTCTTAAAAATCAATTGCGTATGTTATAAAATTAATTGCGTAAATACGCAAATACACACCTTATCTGTTGCTCTGCTAGCACCATGTATAATTTCCATAATTATTGTTACATTTTTACTTACATTTATTTAGTTCATTTCACATTTTTACATGTATAATTAAGAATTCTTAACACTAGAGGTCATATTTACATAAATACTTATTGTCATGCCTTTAATACTTAACAAATTGTTAGAAAAATACCTGTTTTAATTAAGTATACTAATAATTTTATTCATCTTCACTTCTTTGTTATGAAAATTAAAAAAAATCAATTTTATAGTACATGGCCGCCATTTTTTTATACTTCTGATTTAGTTCTATATAATCTCAACACGAGGTCAGATTCATATATATGTTTTCTGAGGCAAAGTTGATTAATACATTAACTGTTATGTATTATTTATTGATTTGAATTGTATATTTGTTTTAATAAGGAAGTACATATTATGACATATTTGTTTTCAATTGTAACCTTGAAACACCTAATTTGCATACCAAAAGCTAATACCTGAGCGTTCATATACCAAAAAATCACTTTGCCTCTGTCCTTACAGTAGAGTAGATGTAGAAATTTTGTCTCATCCAAATCTTTCATAATTTCTAATAAAAGTTTCATTTATAATTACTAAATTTCATCTTGAAAAGGTATCTTAAAATATATTATTTTAAACATGTTACCGGATGTTCAGTATTTTGTTAATAAACTGTCGATTTTCTCACTTATTCTTTTTGAGCACATTATTCGGTATAGCATACATTTGACGGCACTTCTAGTTATAGATATTCGATCTGACCTCGATCTTTTATAGTTTTTCACATTTATGCAAGTTATTTATGCAGAAATCATAACAGTATTTATTGATTCATGCATTTGGTCTAAATGTCAGCCAGAGTTATTGTTAAGGCCCATTACAAAAATAAATCATAATTTAAACCGAAAGGAATGGCTTTGTCCTTAATTTTAGTTAGTAATCCATGTGTATTTGTAATTGGCCGCTACCAGGCACGTAATTACGCTACCAGTAATTCTTTAGATTTATCCTTCACGTTAATACTGATTAACTTTAGCAATTTATTTGAATAATTGCTGATGTAGTACCCTTGCACATTTAAGTAAATTGTACCCATTAAAACAACTGGACTATAAAATCTGAGAAAAAAATTTGTTTAGAGAGCAAAACAGGTGAAAGTGGAGAGAAAGGTCATACACAGGATAGAGGGGCTCTACAAATTACTGTAAATTTAGTTTTAATACCAATGTACTGTAAATTTAGTTTTAATACCAATGTACTGTAAATGTAAATATGCATTGAATTTTCATTTTCTTTAAATGCTATTTTTATGTGGTTTTTATATTATATAAATATGCTCTGTTTCTAGAAACAATTGTATTTCCAATTTTCATCATCAAAACACTTGCCGTATCAGCATTTAGTCTTCAGTAATATTCATTATACAATACTGAAAAATTTTCATAAAAAGGGCATTTATAGTTAAAACTAATGAAATAAACAACATTTTTTAGTAAATCTAAAAAGATAAAAGAAAAATATAAAGGTCATTCTTGGTAAAAGGTCAAGTCTTAAGTACACATTCATGTTCACTGCTGAAGGGGATTTAATTGTGTTGTTCTGTTTAAAATGTTTGTTATATTTTAACATGCCAAGTTTAAAAAAATTCTATTGAACAGTTTTAATTTTGCCTTTGTCCATATGAAAACTTCCTTAAATATACACAGACCATAGAGTAAAACTGGCTGTCATGTATCTTTCAAATTTTCTGCTGATCAATAATCGATTCACATTTTAAAAATTTGATAATTTTTGTGCCCCCATTTAGATTTACCCTTGTCCATCCGTCAGTTCCCTTTTTGTGTCGCACTTAGCTCAAAAAGTATTTGACCTATAGTCATGAAACCTTACATGAATGTTGCTCAGCATGTGTAGTTGTGCACCTGGGTATTTTCGTGTGGATATTTTAGAGTTATTGCCCTTGACTAAGTAAAAATTTTCAATTTTCAACTGTGTCGCATGTAACTAAAAAAGTATTTGACCTAGAGTCTTGAAACCTTACAAGAATGTTGCTCAGCATGTGTAGTTGTGCACCTGGGTATTTTCATGTGGATATTTTTAGAGTTATTGCCCTTGACTTAGTAAAAATTTACAATATTTAACTTGTGTTGCACGCAACTCAAAAATGTTGGTCAGCATGTGTACTTATGTACCTTGGGGTTTCCTTGTAGATTTATTCAATATTTGTAGTATTTGCCCTTTACTTTATAAAAGATTTTTAGTTTTAAACTTGGGCACATGTAGCCAAAAAAAAATTATTTGACCTAGAGACATAAGATTTACAAATAGGTGGAGTGTGGGGGCACCCGTGACCTATGGACACATTTCTAGTTATTAATTATTTTAATGCAGTCTTTCCGGCCGACCATCGGGCCCTGACCAGTTAAAAATCAGATATCGATGTATCGTCGATATGCTTTGTACTGAATCAAAATACTGCTTTATAAAAATGGGGGAAAGTCCTGGGGGTACATACACACACAAGAGGAAGAGAGTGTGGGCCACTACAGTATTTTAATTCAACAAAAACTGCTCTATATAACATGTAAAATAAAATACACACACAAGAGGAAGAGAGTGTGGGGCACTACAGTATTTTAATTCAACAAAAACTGCTCTGTATAACGTGTTAAATAAAAAAAAAATCTTAAAGTAAATTTCAGGTGTTAAAATGTAATATACCTCTTTTTGGTCTTGATTCACAACTTTCTGATGTTTTTTTGCGCCATCCAATTGGACGTCCCCTCTTTTCTGAAATTTGTTTAGTTAATAATTTAAAGAATTTTTAGACAAGAAATTTTAAATGATATTTGGGATCTGTATAGAGATTAAAATCACATTTTCAGTTTTACTCGTGAATCCAAGCCTTGTTTATTTACAATTAAAAACCATAAGACAGACAGATGTGCTTCTACTTGACACTGTTTCCTGGTTTAGTATTGAAAAATATTGTGGCTGGAAAGCTTTTTAGGCGTAGCTCTGCCTTTTGTTGGTATGGTGGAGCAATAGCTCAGTTGGTTACACCACTGACTTTGACTCTCAAGGTTCCTGGTTCAATCCTGTTTAACGCCCTTGTGATTTTTCATAAACAGTGTTTTCTACCTACCTAGAGGTATAATGGTACTAAGCCCAGGTAATAATTGCATGTATCAGTGATATACACTGGGCATGTAAAAGAACCAAGGGATCTATTCAATAAGAGCTGGTTCACGAGCTCCCTTGTATCTCTAGTGTCTGCTGAGATGTGGAGCCTTCTCAAAATAAGTGCTTGCACTTTTATAGGCTAACGCCTTGTCTAAAGAAAATCAAATCGGGTATTTGTAGAAGAAGCAAACGATATATTATTTTAGGCCAAGATTATGTATTGATATTCCCTTTTCTTTTCAGACTGGACTCATTGCTGTCGCTTTCGCTGGAATCTGAAAATAATGAACAATCTATAGTGTTTGGATTCATTCCACTTCAGTGTTGGAACGGTATTTTCAGACGCTTTTGAAATCATGATCACAGAGTATAGAAATAAAAGACTTTTCTGCTGATTTTTTACATTTGTGCAATTAAGCATATGAAAAGGGTTGAGTTTTTTAACATATTTTGTCCAGAACCACCCTTTATAAATTTAGATTTGAAAACAAACATGTGTTATTAGTTTACAATGAGATCCATTCACCTTTGAAGTTTCAAGTTGATACCTCAAATACTTTTTGAGATAAGCTCCGGACAAAATAGTATGAAAAAGAACAAGGGCAATAACTCAAAAATTGTATAGGGAAGAGTTTTCATTCTTGTGCACAGCATTCTTCCTCAATAAGATCTATCCACCTATGACATTTCATGTTGACATCTCAAACACTTTTGAGTTATGCTCCACTCAGGTGAAAAGTTAAGTATGAAAAATAACAAAGGGCAATAACTCAAAAATTATGAAAGGTAGAGTTATCATTCTTGTGCACTGCACACCTCCTGAATGAGATCTATGCACCTATGAAGTTTCATGTTGATATCTCAAAGGCTTTTAGAGTTATGCTCTGGACAAAAACTAATTTTGAAAAATAACAAAGGGCAATAACTCAAAAATTATGAAGGGTAGAGTTATCATTCTTGTGCACTGCACTTCTCCTCAATGAGATCCATCCACCTATGAAGTTTCAAGTGATACCTCAAATACTTTTGAGATAAGCTCCGGACAAAATAGCATGAAAAAGAACAAAGGGTAATAACTCAAAAATTATATAGCAAAGAGTTATCATTCTTGGCCACAGCATTCCTCCTCAATAAGAACTATCCACCTATGACATTTCATGTTGATATCTCAAACACTTTTTGAGTTATGCTCCACTCAGGTGAAAAGTTAAGTATGAAAAATAACAAAGGGCAATAACTCAAAAATTATGAAAGGTAGAGTTATCATTCTTGTGCACTGCACACCTCCTGAATGAGATCTATGCACCTATGAAGTTTCATGTTGATATCTCAAAGGCTTTTAGAGTTATGCTCTGGACAAAAACTAATTTTGAAAAATAACAAAGGGCAATAACTCAAAAATTATGAAGGGTAGAGTTATCATTCTTGTGCACTGCACTTCTCCTCAATGAGATCCATCCACCTATGAAGTTTCAAGTGATACCTCAAATACTTTTGAGATAAGCTCCGGACAAAATAGCATGAAAAAGAACAAAGGGTAATAACTCAAAAATTATATAGCAAAGAGTTATCATTCTTGGCCACAGCATTCCTCCTCAATAAGAACTATCCACCTATGACATTTCATGTTGATATCTCAAACACTTTTTGAGTTATGCTCCACTCAGGTCAGTCAGGTGAAAAAATAAGTATGAAAGGGCATGAAGTTTCATGTTGATATCTCAAAGGCTTTTTGAGTTATGCTCTGGACAAAAATTAATATTGAAAAATAACAAAGGGCAACAAGAGCCATGTCAACATGGCCATCCCCCGCGAATGTGTTTGCTCATTGGAAGAATGTATATGTAGTAGAGCAGAATAATTCCATTTTAAGAGGTCTTTTGGTAATGAAAACTGATGGCTATAGTGATTACAGATTTGAAACCTATGTGAATACTGATGGCTGAATATAACAAAGGGCAACTATTGAAAAATAATGCAGGGTAGGTTATCATTCTTGTGTGCTGCATCCCTCCTCAGTAAAATCTATCCACATATGAAGTTTCAAGTTGATATCTTTGATATGGCAAATTCAAATCAACATCAACAAACCTCAACGTTATATGTCCATTTTCAAGACCGATGATATTGTTTTAAATAGCCATTGTGTAAAATTCGCTAATCACATATTGATGTGCATGGCTGGAGCTATAGATAGTCCGGATAAACAAGAGTGGTTTGCGTGAAATTATACCATAGCTCGGCGTACAATACTACATGATGCAGGATTGTTTTTTGAATAAAATCTCTTTTTTTATCTTATGAAGAAAACATATTGAATAAATTGTAACAACCAAATTAGGTTCACACATTTACAAGATACCCAACTTTTAGTTTAAATTTACAGCCCCAGAACTCTACAGTACAGTA